GCGTGTGGACTGCGACGCCACCGCGACCCATCGTTACACCCCCGAATTTGCATCATCTGTAAACTGTTCTCACGGTTCCCTGCTTGTATATATCAATCAGCTCAAGCCTCGCGTAAATCACGTGACGTTTGTACGGTCACCCTCACCTCTCCCCGCCCCCTGTGAAAACAGACGCTGCTCAGTGCAGCTCCTTTCTGCTCGCTCCTTCACTTACCCCCCCCTCTCATCACCGACATCTTTGTCCTCTAATACTTTCTCCCCTTCCCTGCTCTGCTCTCCCTCATTCGTCCAGCTGCTCATCTTGAGTCGTGCCCTCTTCGTCTGTCTTGGGGACTCGCGTTCCAGCATTTCTTCCCTTTTCCCGTTCCTTTTCCATGCATCATATCATCGACTCTACTCCTCCTCCCGTGATGTGCTACGGGTAAAACCATCTTTCGTAATCTATTTGGCATTTGATTGATTATTTTCCAACTACTCTAACCAGCACTGTATTGTGGGGGGGGGGGGGGGGGGGGGTGGGAACCCAGCTTATAAATCTCAAAAAGGAACTGGACTGATTTGTTTTAAAACTTATATTACAAGTATTTAGTTTGTAAATATAGATTAATTATAAAACTACTGTACTGATATTTTGGCATGTTATAATATATCTATTATTTGACAATGAATTTGATTACATTGCTTTTAGTTAATTTGAAGTAGACAACACAAATGATAAATCTTTAAACGATGAAAAAACCTCCATCATGTGTTGTTTGAAACCCACATTTCAAACAACACATGATGTAGATGGAGGTTTCAAACAACACACAGCAACGTGTACAAGAAGCACACAGCCGTTGCGCACTATGCAAAAAAACATCAACTAGAACCTCTAGAACCACATTTTGGCTTTTGGTTACCATCAGAATGACTTTAGTAAATGTGACCGACTGACAACAGCATTCACGCAGTGATGGAGAACCGTTACTTCCATGGTGACCTCAGGCAATAGGACCTTAATGCACTTCAGGGCATTTTGATGGGATGTTTCCTTGCTTAGTTTTGTCTTGTTTGAAACTCAAATTAACGTCCGACGCTGACAATCATCTCCGCCGGCGGTCCTGAACCAAGAGACAGAGATTCAAACTTCATTTGAAGCTTTCGTGACTGCAGGAATTACTCTTTGGTTCTTTCGGTAAAGTCACATAGAAAATAAATTATATGTATTTTCTTTCTACGTGACTTTACCGAAAGACAGAGATTCCACATACACGTGACATCGGGGGGGGGGGGGGGGGATAAAAGCCATACATCGAGACCGCTTAACTTACCAACAAAACGGTGGTTAACATTATCGTCTCGGGGCGGGATGGCGAGACTCGATTTAACAAACGGGATTTTGAACTCGCACGCGTTCCGACAGCGAAGTTGGGGGAGTTTTCTTGAGCGCAGCGTCATCCCTGGCCGCATCGTCAACTTGCAAAGGTGCTGTACTTAACGAACCTTTGGGTTCATTCTAAGCGGACGCCCAGTGATTGAGCCGAGTGAATGTTTGGTGAAATTCGCGGTCGATGTATAATTAGTATATTCTTTGGAGGTTTTTTTTCTCTCCCGTCTCACATTTTCGCCCCTTGAGCAGCTCGCCGGAATTCCGACCAATCAGGGTTGAAGCAAGAACACCGTAAACAAGGGGAAACCCTTCGCGGGGGAGGCATCGTCATGTCGTATTAGCGGTGGGGGGGGGTACCCATCAAAGTCATCATCGTAACACTCCTACGGGTGACATTGTCCGCGTTTGACGTCAATTTGAACCCCAGTGCCTTCCTCACCAGTCCCAGTAGTCGACTCTGCATTGAAGGTGACTGGCAGTGGCGGGGTTTGGGGGGGTGGGTGGGCACTGGCGTTCATTAGGGGAGTTTGTACCCCCCCCCTCTCACTCTACCCAAGCCCCTCCGCGTTTTCCCTTAGACTCGCCACTGGGGTGAAAGAGGTCACAACGGAAAGTCGCGCTTGTGTATCGCATCAATCAGTGCTCAAACAGCGAGGAGGGGTAACTCATTAACGAAGCACTTTATACACGGGCAGGGTCGACAACAATCATTAACAAGGGCACACGGTGCAAACTTGACAGATATTGGGCGGTTAATACTCCCGGTCAAGAGACGTTTGCCTTCCTCCCAACCCTCCCACGCACCACCGTTTTCGGAACTTATCGCGATGGATGGAACCGCGGTCACGAGGGAAACCGTTCGCCCCGGGGCAGTCCGTAAACTACACACATCATCGTTAGATGAACTGTTGCCATCCCTCTCAAGGTCACGGCGATGGCACAATCAACCTAATTTCTTGCACGCGAACTGATCTCATAGCTCATTCTCCGTCCACTCCGACGAGTTATTTCCTTTAGCCGCAACGAGTCTAACCATACCATCTAGCGATGTCGTGTCTTGCCCAAGGTAAGTTTTTTTAAAGTCAGGATGTTCCATTTGCGTGTGTTCCCTAATCAATCCTGTGTTCCGTGTATTGTTTAAATGTGTGCACTATCACACTAGGGGTAAGAAAACGCAGAATAATATAGGGCCTACACTTGCCCGGAAGGAAATACAACTCCCTATAATCAAGTGGAATTCGCGAGGTTTTAGGCCGCGAAGTTGAACTCCAATACGGGGAATTAGTGACAAATAAAACACGACCTTAATCTCATTTATACGCCCGACAAAAACACCATTCACCAATCGCAGTTTACGCAGCACTACTACAGTACCCAGGGGGGGTCACACGGACGTGTTAAATTGAAACTATTTTGGCCACGTTGAGTTACCGCTTCCAAGTTACGAACTGTACTACGTTACCGTAAACAACTATCTACGCACGCATTAGAAATTGTCCATCGCTTTTGCCGTCCCCCCCCCACGCGGCAACTTCACATCGCCTATGTGCAGCAACTGCAACCCCGACAGACATCCCAGTGAGCGCATGCAACACGATCATCGCTCCACAGACTAGGACTGTAATCGCACGCTTTGCGCAAGTTTCTGCTTACACATTTAGGTGCTAAGATCAACAGTGTTACATCATAATAGGGGCAAGATTAACAAATTTGCGAAACGGCTGAGAAACGCATCGCTTTGGCGATTTGACCAACCTGGTCTTGGAGACACGTGGGGACCACGTTTCCGTAAAAAAAGTTACTTTTTAACCAACACGTGAATCTCACTCATCCATGATGTTAATGCACGAAGCGGCGTAGCGTAATGCACGAAGCAGCGTAGCGTAACGCACGCGCAAAACTCTGCAAGGCACACCACGACACGCACTTCCCCAATACGCGTTTGCTTTTAATACTCGTACAACTTTCAAAACCCGCGATCACATGTAATAATGCAGTGCGTGATTACAAACATATTTCTTTCGATTGGAAACTATGGGAAAAGTTACATTAAGTAGTTTAATATATACACAAGCGGCCACCAGTACAGTAGGACTTAAGCCAGCAAAGCAATAATCATGGCCCCTGCTGCCCTGCCAATTCGCTGTGGGGACAAAGGCTCAAGACCAACTCCCACTTTCCCGACCACATTGCCTCCCTCCTCCTTCCCCCACTCATAAATCCAGCCGTCTCCCCACCCCCCTCTCCATTCGTTCCGCCCGCCCCTTCATAAAAAAATCGCAGTCGCGAATCTTGAACAGTCCTAGAGGAGAGCGAGCCCCTTTCACTCGGCGCCACGCAGCAAGTTCAAGGAAATGCGTTTACGATCCGGACCACCTTGGTTCGACTCCCAACCATGGGAGATTTTACCGCAGAGAGGGTACACAAATCTGTCCCTACGCCTCCCAGAAGTAGGTTCAGCCTTGCATAAGGCAATGCATTTGCTGCCGTGTGCATCGGTGTGGAGGCGACAAAAGTGGCTGGGCGTGGCTCTTTTACCACGGGACCACGGGAGTGTGTTTTGGGCCTCAGTGGTAAGAGGTACTCGCTAACATCCTCTAAAATCTGCAAAGATGGCCAGCTTTGACTTTGGGAAGTTCCACTTCCAAAAGTTACGGTCACTGTGGGGCCAGGTACACACCAGAATCCATGTGCGGGTCAGGGGGCCTGTGTGCTGGCCCGCCCGCCCGCCCGCACCAAATGTGTTGTTAAAATAATATGATGCTCGCAGCAAAAAAAACGCATGGACGGGAAACCGCTGCTTGTGTGCGCGGGGCACCGATAAGGCGGGCGGCAGGGACGCCGAGGCAGCGAGGCGAGGCGTAGAAACCGGAGTGATGTACAACAAAGCAGACGACAACAAAACACGCTCAAGACTCGTGTGCACACTCAAGCCCGACTTACAGCACTGTATTCTACGAGCAAGTAAGCAGAACTCTGGTTTCAGTGAACATATAACACCTGCACACAACGAAGCACAACCCGAACTATTGTACTCGAAATAGAACACCTAGTGTACACTGCTACAACTAATCCGGGGCACCCACGGTAATTTATTGTACACGTATTACAGCACGCCACAACAACGGGTATGCAAACAGCCCAAGTACAACACAGTAGTAGACTGTGCATCCAAGTACACATTGACACTCTCGTGTTGCGCCTTAATTTCCGTTCACGCACGTTCATTGCCTTCGGAAAGAACAAAAAACCTGTCCACAATCTTGCAGACGCGAGGCCACCCGCGATGCACACAACAAACAACAACCCGCAAACGTGGAGTCGACGAAATTTTGAAGCGACGATCAGAATCTCAGCGCGAATGCTCTCTAAAGGGTAACCCGCCCGCATGTTTTAAGAGTTTGGGTGGGGGAGGAGGAGGAGTTGGGAGGGAATGACAGGGTTCAGGAAACAAGAGGGGGGGGTGGCAGGCATATGGGCAGAGTCCCCGGCACCGTAAACTCAAAACGAGGGGGGCATTTGTGGTTGGCCGACGGGGGCGGCGGCCGCGCTTTTTTTAACCAATAGCGAGGCAAAGTTATGGTGATTTGAATCGGGGAGTAGGATGGATGACCGGCGGCGGCGGCGGGGGGGGGTCTCCACGCATTCGCCAGTCCGCCCACGACACCTCGAGTGCCGCCCATCTCAACCCAAAACCAACCTACCCCCCCCCGCCTTCAGCCACTCCAACCAGAGGCCGGCCTCCTCGCCCGCCCTCGCCGTACCCCACCCGGCGGAGAGGCTATTTATCGGCCGCAAAGTTAAACTTCGCGACTCAGCCAGGCTCAAACAAGTTGCACTAGTTTCTTATTTTATTTAACAAAAAATTGTCCCGTGTTTTACACCGCCCCCCCCACCCCCTGCAGCACCAACACGCTGTCACTGTATTCGGGAGTTAGCGAGGTGCTCGCGTGTGCGTATTTAAACAACAGCTCCGCCATGTCTACGGCGCTCGTATCGCCTTCGTACATGGACGTCGGGGACATATTCTACAAGGTAAGACGCAACTCGCTCGCTTTTCTTTCTCTCTCTCTTCCACGTCTGGTCTGTCAACCAGAAGTCAAACTTGCACGCACGAAGCGCTTGCTCGTTTGCTCCCCCCCCCGCCGCCGCCGCCGCTTTCACTCAACCCGCACACCACGATGCACTTGTTGCTGCGACGAAGCGCGCGGGTCGCTCCGCAAGTCTGCGAAAAACCCCGACAAAACTTTTTAAAAAGTCGCGTTGCCACCTCTCGTCCGCGCTGCGAGGCGCGCGCTCCCTCTCTTGTTTTTAAACAAAAAAAAATTAAACTTTTTTTTTGCAGGAGAACGACAACAAGGGCTTGAACTTAAACGCGCTGGACAGGAGGGCGGTGGGCGCGCCTACAGCCACGCTCCCACGCCGCCATTCCTCTAACAACATGCTCGCCCTCGCCAACTCAGCGCACGCTTCTCTCTGCGCCAACAACATTGGCGGCGTCGGTGGAGGTGGCGGCGGCGGCAACAACAATAAGTTCTCCATGTCCGCGCTCAAGGACAGCACGGCGCTCATGAACAGAGAGAATCGCTTCAGAGACCGCTCGCTGAGCGAGGGCGGCGACCACTCTGCAATGATTTTGGCGCCCAGCGCCAAGCACCAGACGGCTCAGACAGGCGGCGGAGTCGGCATGGTCAACTCGAGTCGCTACAAGACCGAATTATGCCGGCCCTTCGAGGAGAACGGCGTGTGCAAGTACGGCGACAAGTGTCAGTTCGCGCACGGCGGACACGAGCTGCGTAGCCTCGTGCGGCATCCCAAGTACAAGACGGAGTTGTGCCGCACTTTCCACACCATCGGCTTCTGCCCCTACGGGCCGCGCTGCCACTTCATCCACAACGCCGACGAGCAGCGCTCGCCCACCTCTCAGCAGCCACCGCTTTCACCGCCGCTCGCCGGGAGCGGCCCGCACCAGCAGCGCCGAGGGCCGCGTCCCCGCCTCAACCACAGCGTGAGTTTCGCCGGCTTCCCCAGCGCCGCAATGGCACGGCGCCTCGACTCCCCGCCGCCGATGGGGCAACTCGACAACGCGCTGTCGCTCACGCCTCCGCCCCTGTCCACGGCCGGCTTTTTCGGAGACGACTACATGATGCTGTCGTCACCCATGTGCACCAACACCCCGTTTTCATTCAGCCAGGAGCTGTTCTTCAGTGCGGCCATGTCCGGGGCGGGCACAGGGCTGCCCCTCCACACAGGTGGTGGTGGTGGCGGCGGCGGTGGTGGCGCAAATATTGGCCCCGGTTGTGGTGGTGGTGGTGGTGGCGGCGGCGGCGGCTTGGGGCCCCTGGGCACGCCCGGAGCGGCGCGTGGCCTGTCGGGGTCGCCTGTGTTTGAGGCGTCCCTCGACTCGCTGTCCGACCCGGGGGATGGCTACTCCAGCTCTGGGGGGTCGAGCGGCTCGGAGTCGCCTCTGCTCGATCCCAACCGCAGGCTGCCTATCTTCAGCCGCCTGTCAATCTCCGATGAGTGAAGCGAGCGGTGTTGTCCGTGTGGGGGGGGGGGGGGGGGGCTAGTACCCCCCCCCTCCATACTCCAGCCACATCGCTGCTTTGTGTTCGTCTCTGCCCCTTCATACCCCCCAAACCACTACCAGGGCTCCCTTTGTGATAAGACCCGGCCAAAGCCGAGGCACATTCTCCTGGTGACGGACGGATACCATTAGACGCATTCGTTTTAAAAGGATGGATATTGTTGATCCCGAGTAAAAAAAAATGGTTAGTCCAGGGCGAAGTGTAAGGAGTTTATAAGTGAGATTGCCTTATAGCGCGCATCGTGGCCTCGTGACAAACACGCAACTTTTTATTAGTACGTATTTGTCCACCCATAATTACTTGCATTAAAGGTTAAACAGCATTAAACTGCCTATAACGTATATACTGTATGTATACATTTTAGCGTATGGGCGAGGCCACGATCCTATCACCGTATGTGCCTAAACAGGAGGAGTCAATGTAATTGGTGTCGGGGATATAAGACTTAACATTGCATGCAGTTGCTAGGGTGTCGGCTTAGATCACTGTTTCTTTATAGCAATAATGACGATTGATAGACAAAAGTTAATTTTTTGTACAAGTTGAGTAACACGTGAGCCTGTGTTGCCTCTGTGGCGATGCCTGCAAGTCGTTTTTGCCACACACCCCCTCCCCACCACAAGGTTTGCCTCCATCGGCCAATTTAATATTTAACGGTCACGACCCCGAGGTGAGAAGGGTGGTAGGGGGGGTGAGTGCCATAACATTTCGCCTGATGCAGTTAATATATATACTGTTTGCAGCGGCAACAGCCTCGCTCCGTGGGCAAATCTTGCTTGCAAGTGTTTTTTTCCCCCCTTTGAGGCCGATGTTTTTTCGAAGATCGGGGTTGGGGGGGGGGGCGCTGATGGCGCCCCCTGCAGAACAAAAAGTCCTCGCGTCGCAGCCGTGGTGGTGGTGGTGGGTTCACGAATACGTTGATTGTACACAAAATTTTGTGAATCTAACGTTGTTTCTATCTCTCACACACACACACTTTTTCTTTGCTGACGGGAAAAAAAAAATGCACTCGCTTTATTGAGTCGTTCTTCCAACCGATATGCTGAGCATTGATTTATTTGTTTTTAACGTTTATAGTTAATGAACCTTTTTCGCTTGTCAGCGTAAATGAGAAGTTGTGGAGATCCCTATTTAACTTATTTATTATACAAAACGTATCTCTGTTGGTATAAATTTGTATTTATCAGGTATGATGACGCGACAGATGTATATTCTTTTATGTTAAATTATACTCGCCAGTCTAAATCGATTTTTTCCTGCAATTTAGTTGCGGGGTGTTTAATGCCCTGCGCACAAGTAATATATGTTAAAATAACGCTGAGTTTTGTGCTTTTTGTAACGTTCACCTGGTTATTTTATTGTGAATGAAAAGTTAATTTAAAAGTAATATTTATTTTTCGCTCATTTTGTTTACGATAATCGAACAAGATTGCATGGTTAGCTCTCTTTTTTTTGCCTTTGGTGATAGTCGGTGGTGTGTGTGTGTGGATACCCCTCTTGTAATGGACAACCATGCCAAATGAACAAATACTGTGCGCGTCCGACCTGTCGGGTCGGCCGTACCACCGCGCAGGGGTGGATACCTCCAGTGCGCCCCCCCTCCCATGCTTCCGTCACTTTTGGTACATTCCAGAGCGTTGCCTTACATAATATAAAATACCAATAGTTACGAATACGTTTTATACGGTAGTTGAAATAATTGTATAATTTTCAAGCCTAACAAAAACTATGCAAGGCATGTTTAGTTCTTGTATAATTTTTTTTTTTGGGGGGGGGGGAGGAGGGAGAGTTGTGATTACGCTGTTCACTACAGTTTGATGTAGCCACCATGTTGTATCTTGTAATAAACGTAAAACAAAAACATGTATCCCTCCCCGCGAAGCGAGTGTGATGTGTTTTATTTGGAGCGTGTCCTGAGTGAGTGCGAGTCTGGGAAGAGGGCCCGTGACGCATTCGGGGGCCTGATAAGGCCGCAATAAATCACTTTGAAGCCGGGGGGGGGTGAGACTTGTGTGCGCGCCGGGTGACGCTGGGCTGGAGATGTTGGGGGGGGGAGAACTCGGCAGGAGGGGGCCGCCGTCTTTCGCGGTGGTAGCGGGGGGGGGGTCCCTCTGCGCATGGCTTGTGCGCAATTAAACCTCACGTGTAAAGTTCAAGCCTCGGGGTCACTTAACATTTTGTGGTGCGGCAGTCTGCACCGGTACCAGTGTGCGAAGCCAACTTTAAATTAAAAGTTTTGATGAAGTGAACTTCCATGAGGTTTGTGAACGCGATACATTGGCCACATCGGTTCGGGGTTGGGTGACCCGGGTGTAGTGGCTCCCCCGGCTATATTGAGTTTCAACTTTAACCGTCATGATCACGGCACGGATATTTCCTTGGTCGCCTTCACCCTGTTATTCGCAACATGTGTTTCTCTTCAACGAGAGTCCACAGTGACTGATTTTCGTTATGGGTCCACCATAACGTCAAGTTGTTAACAAGCACAATTGCAGAACCACGAAATATGTGCGCGCGCACACGAGCACACTTTGCCAAAACCCATGCAGAAATTATCTCTGTAAAAACAACTCGTCAACCTTGAGAGCCAAAGGAAAGGTTTTTTTAGTGGGGTGGGGGGTTCAGGGGTAGGAATGAGCAATTAACAAAGATGAAGAACACATGTTATTGTGTCCTAGCTGTTTCTTTAATAGAGTTCCACCATTCCATAAACAAAGTGCAAAAGGAAAAATAAACAATTTCTAGACCATGAACTCTGGCTAGAAAATAAAACAAGCGCGGGCCACGAGTCGTAACAACAAGTGTCGCCCGCTCCTTTCTCGAGGCTGTTCACAAAAGCTGCTCACGAGGTCCAGCATTGGTGTGTTTTAAAAAAAAGAAAATTTACGGGCTTTATATGTCATTTTTTTTTATTTAAACTTCACGACATCATCGCGATTCGGGACAATCTTAGCGTCTTCCTGTCAAAATGCACTTCTGGGCACGTGCCTGACTACAGAGTTCCGACTTGATGTAAAAGGATCACACGTGTACTTTGAGAGCAGACTTTTGTTGAAGCCACAATTGTTTGGTAAAGAAGAGTGATTTCTGAATTCCCAAGTAGATACAGTAATTTTCTTTTCGATGTAAATATGTACAGGTTTGTCTAAGTTCGGTTGGATAGCGGTGCACCGAGGTCCGTTTTCACTACCCACCTCAAGCTAGTCAGATGTCATAGCAACAGTCCAGTGAGGTGCGCACTCTGATTGGCTGGAGACTTGGATCGGTTCCTTCCAAAGCATCCGTTGGGACATCCGCAGAATCTGAAAGTTTAAAACAAAACACGCTTTCATGAAGCGACATGTGCGCAGAGATACGAAGCCCCATCAGCAGAACGGGCGCTTTGTGGAGGGATTGGATTGCCTTGGTAATAAGGCGAGGTACAGCAATTAAGCTTCAATCTGAAATGCCAACAGAAAGGCAGCAGCTTTAGAGACTTAAAATGCCTTTCAGGCAGATCACCATTGTTCTGTTCCTTAAGTTTTAATTACAATAAAGCTCCAGGGTGATGGTAATCAGTGGTTTCCACTAAACGCAACATCATGTGTTAACTTTTACAAGCATAAGTAAAACCACAACCCAACTGCCCACCCGCATCACATGCTGTACATATAATGTATGCAAATAAATTAATAACAAAATTGCTGTGGAAGAAGAAAAAAAGGCCCTTTCAGCCCATTTGGCGCATCCTGTTAAAGAGATCCAAAACTCTCCCTCCATTTTTCCTACAGGGCCACCAATCTCCTTGACTGCCAAACTGTTAACACAGACGCCCTTACAGTGCCCGGCCGATGTGTCCCATCCATTACCACCCAAATGCATTATTCACCAGCAACACGTACGACTTCTTTTTAAATAACTCGATTGGCACTGCATCTTCACAGAGCACAGTGCCGACTGGCAAGTCATCTCAGTGATAGCTCTGCAGCCATTTGTTTAAAACAACCACTACTTGTTCAACACTCCTCTTGCTCCTGCAGAGCGCGGCACAATGCAAAGGCTAAATATACTAGCAGCAAGCATACACGTGTAATGTGATATTTTTACATTCCTATGCTTCAACAACAAACACAATGCAGTCACTTTTAAAGGGCCCTTGCTTAACACAGGCACAGCCTTCGTAGTGAGAGGTGGGGGTGGGTATTCGGTGCACACCATGGTTATACTGTACAAAATAGTGAATCACAGTACTAAATTAGCGTGTTAATCTAAGCGGAAGTTGCCTAATGAGAGGTTACTGATGAATTTGTTTGAAGGAATGGATGCTCCAGAGGCGAGCCCAACCCTTTCCTGTTTACAAGATTTTCCAGACCTGAGATTTGATCTCCCCGAGGCCCTGCACACCTCCCACGCAGCACCCCCAGCCGAGAGCATAGCAGCCCAACACACAACTCTAAAAAGGTAGCCAACTGCACACTTACGTATACGCACTAATCACTGTCAAGATGCTGGCATCAACAGAGATCGAATCTCCTTTGGAAAGGGTTTGCGGAAACTATTCGTTCGTGGACTCCGATGACTCAAAACAGTTTCAAGTCAAATACGGCATGCAATATGAGAAGCCATAAAGAGCGCTGTGATAAAAGATTTTAGATTATGATCGCCGTGATGATGCACCCAAGTATTCAATTTGCATGTCACGCGTCTTACTTTGTGCCAAAAGATGCTCAAACCACAGTTTTCAAAACCTCCGGCTAGTTCCCTTTTCAGACAGCTTTATTGCTAGTTAATTGATTTCTGTCTCATGTTTAGACTGGGAGATGAGAAAAAAATAGACAGACTTCACAAGGAGGAGGAGGGGGGGCTGCAAAGATTTAATTGAAACAACATGAAACAGACTCCCGGCATCACGACCCGGCCATGTGCTTCACACCCGCTGAGGGCCAAAAAGTGTCAGGTTTCCGGGGACAGGAATAGCCTATCCCCAGCGAGTTCCTGGAAAATCCAGGCCTCAAGCCTGTCAGAATGCGGGTCACTCAGTGGTGCACATACCAGCAACGCAAGAACGATGCCAATGTGGACCCGTACAAAGGGCTCTGGCACTGGGGGAAAATCTACTTTAAAGATCTGCCCCGTAGCTCGACTGCATTTTGTTCAGCCCAGGCGAGTGTTTGTTTTTCATGAAAATGCTGGGACTTCTTAAATGAGAGCCTGGGTTGAGGTGGTCGCAGACCACGATGTAATTACTAAACAGGTCCCTGCAGGGTGGGCTGGTAGGACAAGTCTCTGCGCTGTCTATTGCTGATTTTACACCCAACAACACGAGATTTCACTTCGTTAAAGTATTGAAAGGGGACGGACGGACACATTAATCTATTGCAGGCTGGTACACTCAGTTTACAACTTTGTTCCTACCAGTATAACTACAATAGATACAGGCGTATATACGTAAGAAAAAAACACAAGGCAGCCTGGTTGGCGGGACACCACAACCCGCACTTGACTCGCAAACAGGAATACAATTATATGGGCTGAAAATCGGAGTTGTACCTCCATTTTCAGTAACTTAAAAGACCGTGTCACACACAAAAACACTTGTAGATGTACGCCTGGGCTTTGTCTTGGGTTGTCAAACATTCGAAGCATCATTAACGGGAAAAAATAATTTTAAGTTACAAGAACAAAGTTTTTAACTTAATGTCGGACAGTGCCGGGCACAGCAAATCAGCCTATCGACAAGACGGCAGCTACAGTAACTGTGTTTTCGGTTGCCTTCAACATAAACTCTGCTGACACAAGTGGACGCGTGTGTACACTGACGTGCACAAGCACAGACAACGAGAAGCACTCGGCATGTCTGAATTGAAGCCCCATGAAAATCCAGGAACAAAGACACCATATACAAACAAATGCATACCAACACACACTTGTACACAGAAGCAAAATAACTGTACCGGATGACACACTAACAATGGCATGTTCTGAGAAATCCAAAACCAGAGGGGTACGTCCTTCACACTCAGTCACCGAGGGCAGATCTATATTTTAAACACAAACATTCTTCAACCCTACACTGCAACAGCCAGTGCCCCGTCTCAGTTATAAGTAGAGTCACCAAAGACAGCAAGGATCAGAATGAATGCAACACACAACCGAACCTCTGTAATTTATTGTGCTATAAATATACATTCTGGTAATCCATCAACAGATTATGAAGGCTATTTTTTTTCAATCCACAGTGAAGGAAAATGAATGCATTTAGTATGCATGCTCCTAATTGTATGTACACACCTAAAGTGTCTGGCTTTTCAGTTGCCAGAGGATGGAATGATATCCACAATTAAAATAAATCTAAGACTTAAGTGGATGAGAATAGGCTGCACACTGGGGAGCAGGCTGCAAGCGTTCATTTGGCACAGCAAAAATTGATAAACACCTGTTACATTTCCAGATTGTCCTGGCCGTACTAGTACAGCATATGTAACAAAGAGGTCATCCTGGCTGGCTCATGCTTGCATCTCATCTCAAATCTGTTGGCTGGCGCAGATCCACGCTATTTGTAAGTGTGGTTAGTAACTTATTTATGAGTTGGAACTCCCTTTCGGGGTTTGGAAGTCATGGTGAGCATTTTTTTCCATGCTCAATAACATGAAAGGGCTGGATGGCAGGATGTTTCTACTTTTGGGAAAGCAATTCCAATGCAAATTAAGAAATATATTGTCATTGCTGTGTACCACGATGAAAAATACAGGACCAAAATTAAACACTACATTAAATGGACAACAAAATGTTACTCGAACAATAAAATGGAGTAAATGTTTGTGTGGAGGTAAACAAATATTTTGTGGTTTAAATCTCAGGAAATAAAATATTTATAAAGTAAAATTTGTCTTCCACATGAACTCGTTTATCCATGGAATATATGCCTACAGAAGTTTAACTTCTCTAAAATTAACTTTTTGTGGTCAGGAAAATATATAATTTCAAACAAACAAGTATACATTAAAATATTTTTTAAAATCCCAAAACAACAGAAAGTGGCTCAACTAGCGGTCATCCCCCAGTCGTGAAAAATTAGATTAGACCGAAGGAAAAAGACGAAGAAAGGGAGACTAAGACGCGGAACGCATTCTTAATGCAGAACTTTTAATTCACTTTTGACTTGCCATGGGTGTGAAGCAAAGGGGGCGGGAGCCGGTGAGGCAGGGGGCCGGTAAGGCGTGATACATCTCTTATTGGCAAAGCCTGCTGGGTACAGATGGGCAAGAGCACAAGTCAGAGAGCATAGGTCATACCCCAATCATCACTAGGGGGTTGACTAATTAAATTAAGGAGTCAAGAAAGACTGCCACTGTGCACTGCTGTGGCATTCATCAAGCCCCTCCGTGTTGAGTGCCAGAGCACTAATGCTGGTGTGAGCACATGCACTCAAGAGCTGAAAGCACATGACACAGCATCTGTGGAAAAATGGCACTGGCACAGTCCTGCCATGCCTTCCTTTCTCTACTATGCTCCAGCAGGAACATCAGATGGATCACCAACAGTTGGCTGCCTGGTTGTTTTGCAAAGCCAGGAAAAAAACAAAGAATAATTAATGCTGAGAGAGGGCGGTGGGGGGGGCTGCAGAATGAGGGCCGCTAGGCTGACTGACGCGCTACCTTGCCACTGGCGTGGCCTGCAGTGGGCAAGGTTTGACCCCGGCGCACATGGTCAGCCAGGGATTAGCTGGGCAGTAACAATCCAAATGCATTAATGTAAGCATACGTGGCTGAACCACTGAAGCACTTTACGTACCACTAAGTAAAGCAACTGCGGCAACAATGCACGAGACAAAGGCAGCGCTGTGCTGAGCATGCGTACCCGCTCATATGCGCATGTGACGGCGCTTGAGAGACTTTATAAAAGCGTGCGCCGCATAACCTTGTGTGCGTGCACATGTGAAAGTATCCCATGTGTTTATGTGCAATATGAAGGCCTGTGAAATGTGTTGCTCATGAGCAGCGGCGACACGATTGACAGCAAGGAGAGGGCTCAACAGATGACAGCCAATGAAACTGGCAGCAAAAACTTGGATTCCGCAGCTGTTATTAAAACAGAGGAGCATTTGTGTTTCTTTGACGGCTCGTTTCTGCCTCACAGGACAGAAGATGAAGGCTGGCGCGCTGCACTGGCACGCACATGGTCGAAGAAGTGTGGCTATGCTGCAGAGACGCAAGCGGCACATTCGCATGCCTCGCTTGCATACCCTCGACACATGCAAATGTGCTTAATAGACTGAAAGGGCAGTTAAGATGAAATCTCAGCTATCTCACCCATCTAACCACAAGATGGGCCTGAAATAGTCTTACTGGTTTCGGTACACTCAAACAAAACATCAGCAAGCAAGAAAAACGCATGGAAGCACAAGTAGAGGACCACAAAAATATATGCAAACAAACAACACAGACATTTGCCAGGGTTTTCGACTGAAGCACATAGGACCCTTACTCCGCAGAGGTGCTTTCTGTACAGATCCGCAGCAGCACGGTATTTTTTGTTACGACCAAAATTCAGAAAGCATGGGGTGCGGTTCGCAGCTGCACACGGGGATTGCAAAAGCACGATGTGCGCACCAGGCCGTGCCCAGACTCCACACGCTGCAACAGACCACTCCTATTCATGTGGATTCTGCACAGCCGCGCACTGATTGGCTGTGGACGGGGAGCCGTTGCGTTTGGAAGACAATGACACGTGCACTCGCACGATAGGCCTCGGAGGGCTGCCTCGCTTCTCCCTCCTTTTATCTAGAAAACATTTCGGTTTACGAAACTCTACTTGAACAAGATTTGTAGTCCAGACTCTGCACTAGCCACTGGTACAGTGTATTTCACCATATTTAAGTGAGTATCGTAATCTATTGGTGAGTATAATACTCATGTATAGTTTTACGTTGCAGAATTATACAGCATTTAATTCTCTGTTTGAGTTTTGAATGTTAAGGAGTGAAAATATTGGGTCTGGGGAGGGGGCCTGAAGGGATCTAGGATATAACCCCCCCCCCCCCTTTATTATGTCAAACTGGGTTCCCTCTGCACGGATTCCCTCCGCACGGCCTTGTCTGAGAAAGCATCCTCCCCCCCCCCCCCCCCCCCCCCCCCCCCCCCGTGCAGAGCGAGGGTCAGTTATATTGCTTGTTGCAGATTTTAGCGTTGGACTTAATTGCCGAATAATGTACCTGCTTATTAACTCGATGCTTAACATAACTTAAAGCTGTAAATATGTAAGTGAACACCGTGCAAAACGGGATGTAAATCAATGGTATTGTTACCAGCTGAAATAAATATGAAAAACAGTATAAGAAGAGATTATTTTCTGGGGGAAAAAAAAATATGGCAAAAAATTTCAAATGTAACATCTTAACTTATTTCTTTACAATTGTTTATACTCAAAAGCGTAGTTTATCAAAGGTAATCTGAATGAATATGTTTAGTTCATTGTTTTAACCAACAAACAGCATTCCCACCCTTTAACACCACTCTGTGTACTTGAATACTGAAAACACTTGTGGATTAAAAATACAAGCCACTGGCTTTTAAAATAAATCAGATCTGCCTTAACAGCAGTGCCAATTCATCTAGGATTACATTCAACTTTTTTATGTACTTGCTCACAAAAAGTACATAAAAAAGGATGAAAAGGAAGTAGTGCGATGAGAATCACAAGATTACGTGAAAAAGCAAAAAACAAAATAGCCATATAATCCAGCATGCATACAAAACAAATAGGAAGCTTTAATGTTGAAGTTGGACATGTGATAAGGAATGCAGGTATTTCTGTACAAAAGCCTGGTAATCAGGCCAAACATAGTTAAATTCCATGCACAGATGGGAGAGTGGAGGGATTTTCATGTCAATACAAACCTCCAGGTCCTTTTACTCTGAACTAAGTCCAGCAGGCTCATTAAAATGCTTCCTCAGGACCCTTAAGGAGGGATTAATGGAGCTTTAACAATACAATTCCAACAAAAAAACTTGTCCTTCAAGCTGATCTCCACAAGAAAAGCAGATTTCTTAACGACATAATCTGAAAACATTTTAAAACGAAAACTTGAAGGGATACCGTGAAAGCAGAAGAATGTTCGAAAACAATTTTGGCACCAAAGTACAGTGTGGTTCAATTGTGAATTTTAGAACTTCACAAGAGTAACAGTATTGGCTCTTGTGTATATGACATCCTGAATGATGCAAGGAGACTTGTTAATTAGCATAATCCAAGAGAGGTAAGGATCTAGATTTTTCCAGCATAAAAAGCGAATGCAAACTGCAATAATGAGCAGAATGAGCCCTCTTTACGCAGACTTCAATTGATCCCAAGAATTGTGCACAAAAGCACGTCTGTTAAAGCATCCAGGCCGGAACTGGCAATTAAACTGAGGCTCGGATGTTTTTTGGCAGAGACTGAATAACAAACCGCGTGGACACACGTGAGGTCGACCCTGTGGCCTTGTGGTGTGAATGTCTGGTCTGGGTGGGTGGGTCATGCGTTCCCACTCTCCCAGGCACTGCTCAGAGGCCCCATTAAAAGTGTTTGGCAACTGCATCCCCCGCTTGGGTCTTGGCACCACTACAAGGTGAGTTTGGAACTTTCAAAAAATGTTAATTATATTGTAATAAAGGCAAGTCATTGTATGACACAGTATGCTGCACCGTTTTTTTTGTCATGTAATGGGAAAGGGTAGCATTGAACTTAATATAAATTTTACCCTGTGTATGTCTTTGTGCATGCAGCACTAGTATGCGTGTACGACATATATGTTTTTATATAACAAGAAATCCAGGATCTGCTGTGACTGTGTTCCCTGCACAGAATCCTTGCTGGGAGTTAAGAAAGGCCATGCAGGGGCTACATTGTGTGTTGAGCCGCTTCAACAAGTGGAGTGGAATTCTGGAAGTGCAACTGAATGAAAAAAATAAAATTTCATTCAACCAGCAAGAGCTAAATGATTTCAACAGAATACAAGCCACACAAAGACAGGAAAATCAAAGAGGTAGAAAAGAGGTTTTAAAAAAATCTACATTTGTTGGCAGTAGGGGTGAATTAAATGATCATATTACAAACATGTTGCTGGTGATGAATAGTCATATCTATTTTAAATATCCATTAAATATGGTGCACCTAACATAACCACATGCGTGAATGTTGGTGCACATACTAGAAATTCATATTTAGTTATGCATATTAATTCAACGTTCGAGATGATAAAGTTTCAATACAGCTGCAGAAAATTAACCAAATATCTGTAAACAGATTTCATAACGATGTTGAACTATGTAAAACTTGGCAAATGCACCACAAGTGATGAACGAGCATGTTAAAGGACCCTTTAGATGACCATGTTTTCTTTTTACCTAATAATACGGGGATACAAAAAAACTTGTTTAAATCCACTTATGCAACAAAATAGTATGGCAACTAGCCACACTTTTGGCTTTGCTTAGTAAAAATAAAGGAGTAGCTTCAACAAAAATGTAAAGAACACCAATCAACGTCAACCGAGCAGCTGCTTACTCTTGCATTGGCATCTGTTGCTTTATGCTGAATTGTGTATGGTTATATTTCTTCAACCTTTCCTAAAATGTAATTTTCTACTAAATTACTTAGCACTGTGTAATGTGCAGGCTTCTGGATTCAGTGGCTGGCCTTGACAAACAATGGGATGAATTGGTCAAAGCCTCTTCCCTACGGAGGCTAGTATATTAACAAAACCAAAAAAGGAAGAGGCTATAAAGTGCTCATTTTTATTACACAATTTACGGTGGTATTGTGACTGAGGCCGACTTATCCCAAACTACCCTGCTTAAAATGTTTGCTTCCTGGCATTGAAAGGGTTAATAAAGGTCACCCGCCGCCGCCCCCCCCCCCCATTGTGAAGTTTGTTAAAGTGTCATTTTGGGGTTCCTTTTGTGTCCGCTGATCCGGCAGTTCCTTCGCCATCAAGGGTGGAGGGGGGGGCTCTCTCTTTGTTTATTCAACAGGCTATTCCGCTGACCAGTGACAAAGCCAGGCAATTTAAATAAGGGGAAAGCTGCACAAGAGGCTCTATCCCAACCTCATTTGAATACCACTGCTTGACCTGCACGGCAGAGCACGGAGAGGCGAAAATGGAGCTATGAGGCAGGGGCCGCAAAGTCCAAAACTAAAGCGGCAGAGGAGGGGGAGTGCCAGAACTTGATGAGGATGTGGGGGAAGGGTTTTAGATAACGATTGGAGAATGATAGTGATGGAAGATAACATGAGCTCAACTTAGAAATATCCAGAACAAAGAACTGACAGAGGATGGTCAATCAATATGAAATGCAAAACCATGAGAAGGCAATTTCAATAATCTCATTGTAAAGTGAACAAACAAAACAAGGTTTGTTCATATTCTTGGTTCTTTTGGTAAAGTCACATAGAAGGGAAACAATACAATAATAAAAATATAAAACAAAAAAATTCTCACGACGTTTCGACTGCAATTTTCTTGTTGTGGTTTTCACACCTGATGATGATTGTTTGTGTTGCAGTCGAAACATCGTGAGAATTTTACTGTTTTATATTGTTATTATTTTATTGTTTCCCTTCTACGTGACTTTACCAAAAGAACCAAGAATAGGAATCCCTGCAGTCACGAAAGCTTTAAATCAAAATTTAAGGTTTGTTCAGTACACACTTGAACATTGTGGTCCAAATGTATCTTACCTTCCAACACAAGTCCCGAGCCTTGAATGGAGAAAACAAATCCAGAATAGGAAGCCAGGGGTGATTTCACTATCAAAATCTGGGGGGGGGGGGTGTAGGGGTGGAAACGAAAGAATAGAAGCACACTCAACATATTGTTATATAAATGTACTTCGTTGGATTTTGTTTTACAAATGTTAATGTGCTGCAATAAGACGATCAGAACATGTTATTGTCAAAGCTATATTGCACACCTAATATTAAGCAGTTCTGATAGACATGTTTATGCAAAACAAAAGTGTGTATAGCTTAAACGTTAAAGAATTGATACTTATTTTTTATGCAATATAATTTGTACAAGTTTTTGCAGCGCTGGAAAGCATTACACTATAGCAGGCACATTTGAATATATTTTTGGATAACACAACAACACGTATCAAGTCTTTAGCGTAAATAAAATTCCATGTGGTAATTTCAAAAGGGTGTGGTCTAGAGTAATGTAAACCAGCTGAAGAGCTGGAATCTTTTGGTCTGCGCTAAACTTTCACACATGCTTATTTACTGCCAACATTCCTCCCCCAGTTTTATGCTTCTGCTGAAGCTGCCGTGATTGAATGCAACCGTTCGGAATGTTTATTCATATATTCTAAACGCTGGCAAATTCTGCGACCACTGGGTGCCGTCATACATTTTAAAAACTTCAGATAATCACAATAAACGAGTTTCAAAACGTGGAATGCTGACACTGATACCTCTAATTTTACATAAAATTAAAGCACAAGTAATGGTAAATTATTCCCAGGTGCATGTGTGTACTCATTAACAATTTATATTCCAGTACTTGGATTAAGGGTTTCCTAAAACACTTTGCATGCTAATGAATAGTTGCCTGCTTAAACCCATAATCTATTAACACAAAATATTGACATTATATCTTGTCATAAGATATACTGCATATTAGGAAGTTAACATTTTACTGCAATCACAACAGCATGGCACAACATTTTTTCTCTAAATCGATCTGATGAAGTATTAAGGATTTGGTCACTATGCTTCATTGCCAATGAGAGGACACAAATTGCCATAACTATGAGAGCCAGGCATCGCAAGAACTTGTATACTGCAGATAATTTTACCGTACCCACTTTTATTTGGCTGACTTAAGTGCAGTTCTTTTTTTGTTATTCTGACTTAAAGAATGTTGGTATGACATTACAGACGTGAGAAGCTGTTGATACAAAATACACATTGTATCATCAGCTTAGTAGATTAGGGCTGTCCTTACTTGCATTTCGTTTTAATGTATAAGACAATCTCATAAAGATAACTTTAAAATATATAAATATAAATCAGCCACAATATAAATAATCCATAAATAAGATGACACATCTTAGCTGAGCCTCCTTCAAAGTAGTTTAAATTGAAAAGTGAGAAATGCATATATATTGCAGCCTAGACTGGGTTCCTACATCCAATTCTCCAACACGTGTGACCGTGGACACAGGAATATAACAGATGTCCCAAACAATGTACTCTGTGAATTACTGCACCAAATGCTCTTGCTTTTAATATAAATTTCACCGACATAAATACAAAACAAAGTTACCGATGCATGTATATGGCATCACCGATGAGAATAACGTGAAAAGGGGTTGGAGGGATCATACTCGCAAGTTAGTGAAGTGCTTTTAAACGGCAGTCTCCAGGGAGTGGTGTGGGACAGACAGGCCACGACCGCCAACTGCCGATCAGTTGGGAATGATTAGTGGCCAGATGGACAAAAATATACGACATACGTCAACAACTGCTGACCAACCGCCTTGGGTTTGACCCAGATATCACACATGTATTATACAATTATAAATAATTATTTATCATTGTACGTGTAACAAACTTGGGCAATACAGTGAGGGAAAATGTATTTGATTACCCTGCTGATTTTGTACGTTTGCCCACTGACAAATAAATGATCAGTCTGTAATTTTAATGGTAGGTTTATTTGAACATTGAGACAGAATAACAACATCCAGAAAAACGCATGTCAAAAATGTGATAAATTGATTTGCATTTTAATGAGGGAAATAAGTATTTGACCCCTCTGCAAGACATGACTTAGTACTTGGTGGCAAAACCCTTGTTGGCAATCACAGAGGTCAGACGTTTCTTGTAGTTGGCCACCAGGTTTGCACACATCTCAGGAGGGATTTTGTCCCACTCCTCTTTGCAGATCTTCTCCAAGTCATTAAGGTTTCGAGGCTGACGTTTGGCAACTCGAACCTTCATCTCCCTCCACAGATTTTCTATGGGATTAAGGTCTGGAGACTGGCTAGGCCACTCCAGGACCTTAATGTGCTTCTTCTTGAGCCACTCCTTTGTTGCCTTGGCCGTGTGTTTTGGGTCATTGTCATGCTGGAATACCCATCCACGACCCATTTTCAATGCCCTGGCTGGGGGAAGGATTTTCTCACCCAAGATTTGACGGTACATGGCCCCGTCCATCGTCCCTTTGATGCGGTGAAGTTGTCCTGTCCCCTTAGCAGAAAAACACCTCCAAAGCATAATGTTTCCACCTCCATGTTTGACGGTGGGGATGGTGTTCTTGGGGTCATAGGCAGCATTCCTCCTCCTCCAAACACGGCGAGTTGAGATGATGCCAAAGAGATCCATTTTGGTCTCATCTGACCACAACACTTTCACTCAGTTGTCCTCGGAATCATTCAGATGTTCATTGGCAAACTTCAGACGGGCATGTATATGTGCTTTCTTGAGCAGGGGGACCTTGCCGGCGCTGCAGGATTTCAGTCCTTCACGGCGTAGTGTGTTACCAATTGTTTTCTTAGTGACTATGGTCCCAGCTGCCTTGAGATCATTGACAATATCCTCCCGTGTAGTTCTGGGCTGATTCCTCACCGTTCTCATGATCATTGCAACTCCACGAGGTGAGATCTTGCATTGAGCCCCAGGCCGAAGGAGATTGACAGTTATTTTGTGTTTCTTCCATTTGCAAATAATCGCACCAACTGTTGTCACCTTCTCACCAAGCTGCTTGGCAATGGTCTTGTAGCCCATTCCAGCCTTGTGTAGGTCTACAATCTTGTCCCTGACATCCTTGGAGAGCTCTTTGGTCTTGGCCATGGTGGAGAGTTTGGAATCTGATTGATTGATTGCTTTTGTGGACAGGTGTCTTTTATACAGGTAACAAGCTGAGATTAGGAGCAATTCCTTTAAGAGTGGGCTCCTAATCTCAACTCGTTACCTGTATAAAAGACACCTGGGAGCCAGAAATCTTTCTGATTGAGAGGGGGTCAAATACTTTTCCCTCATTAAAATGCCAATTAATTTATAACATTTTTGACATGCGTTTTTCTGGATTTTTTGTTGTTATTCTGTCTCTCACTGTTCAAATAAACCTACCATTAAAATTATAGACTGATCATTTCTTTGTCAGTGGGCAAACGTACAAAATCAGCAGGGGATCAAATACTGTTTTCCCTCACTGTAACTCAATAATAACAGTGGGCAGAATATTGCACAAATCAGTCTAGCACAATCGCTTCAGAATGTTCAAAAACCGTTTTGCATCCATTTTAGTGATATGCCATAGACATTTTTGCTCAATAGTGCACAAAATGTATTTTTTTGTGGTTAACTCATGTGGATTCCTGAATATCATGTCGTTTTCAAGTAATCGTCTTCTTCTTCTTTGGTATGGCTCATATAGATGCAGAGCAACAACTACAATTTCAGATTCAGGTGGTCAAGCCAGACTCGAGATTTCACAGAAAAGAATCTCAAACGGATATTGCTAATACCAGAGGTGAAAAGATTCAAAAGCCCCTACCCCATACGTAACAAACAAAAAAGATTTATGGTCAATTACGAAAATAAAAATATATTACGTACATCATTTGAACCTCAGATATTCTTAGAGTAAAGATTACACTGCAACAGGACACTGAATTGCATTGGTATGGAAGAAAATATGAAATGTGCGTGTTAATCACACGTAAAGCACAATCCTCATGAAGCAACTGGAGTGCTATTCAGGGTTCATATTAAATGGGAAAAGAGAGTTTAAAAAAAGCTTTTTGAAAGCAAAGTAAGAGTATTTTTTTAAGGTGTTAAACTTAGTGCTCGACTGTGGTCAATGCTGAATTCCCGAGACAGGGGTGACATGGGATGTTTGACTCCCAATTCATGTTACTGGGGGGGGGGGGGGGGGAGAAGGGTGCCAGTAGTCATGAGTGAAGCCGTGGAGTGTGGTTGATCACCCGCTGCGTGTCCTTGGGCAGGAAACATTGCGTGCGGTCGCCCTGGCAAAACGCAGAGGCTGTTTCTAAATGTGTCAACGTTCACTGCCTGAGCTGCACGAGTTGAGCTATGAATGTTGATTTATTGCAATAAGAAACTCAATGTTTTTACACAACCTTTTCACGAAACTTGCTATCACTTGTGTGTCCGTGTCATCGCGTGGATAGATTTTTTTTTTCCCCCATACCAGGCATCAAAATCATCTATTGGGCTAACAATGTCTTGTTTTATCACAATCACAAACATGTATATGGGCAAAAATAGCAATTGCATTAACACTTAATACTCTTCAAACAACTGTAATCGGCTATTCATTGTAACAAAAAATGGGTGTTAAATTTCCAGTTTTAAAATGATTATCGGCACGAATAATACCTACTGCTCATCTGCTCTCAAACAACAGCAGGAGATGTTTGGAAGTTGACAGCCTTTGAATTCATGCAAATTCTGGGTGGGGAGGGGGGTCAAAATTCACACGAGCCGGAGCTGGAAATTGGCGGGAAAGTAGATAAAAAAACACACGTGTGGGTGGAGACCTACGGGGGGTTGGAGGCGGGTTAGGAGGGGGATGGGGAAGCCGCCCATTGTTGTTGAGCCCATGTGGCTCCAGGCGGCCCAACTGCTCTTAACGGCCGAGCGCTGGGGCCTGGGCCAGTCGGGAGAAATAAACCCGCCTCGCCACTCGTGCGCCCGCAGACGGCAGGTCGCTTTTATTCGGTGATTACGCAACGTGTCTACGGCATTAATTCTCTCCGTTAATAAAAAGGGATGACCGAAAGTCACCACATTGTCCTGCGAGTGCAGTGTGCGTTGCGAGAGGTATAGGGTGGTGACAAGTCTTGTATCCAAGTCAAGGCTGTTACCCATTACTTTTGTTTTTATAAGGTTATCTAAGCGCGGTATTGCTTTATTGCCGTCTCCCCTTGTTATTAATGTACATTTTGCATGTCGAATTAGCAGTAATGTATACAATGGTGTCTATCATGGTTCATAAATTGCTGTATATGTATACCAACTCTTGTGCACAATGTAACACAAGCCTATGTTTATTTATATGCAGAAACATTACCCTTCCAAAAAATATCACTTTCTCACAGATTACCAAAAGTGAAACGTGTGTACAGTATGCACACAATTTAACTTAATTGAACAATTGTCCGGAAACAACTAAAACACTACCGCCGTTAAGGACACATTGATTACGAGAGTCAGAACATGAATGCCGTTGGTGGGGGCTACACGTTGCCTGGGACATTTGTACGACACCCTCGAATCATGCCCCTCACTCGCACTTGTAATCATTGTTTTACTCCATTTTTCCTAATCCCGTGATGTGTCAACACAGACCATCAACCTGAGAAAATTGTTCCCTCTCCGCTGTATTTATACCATCTTAGGGGCACCATTTTTGGACATGTCAGCATCCTTATGCCACATTGCACAAACGTGAATATTTATTGGATCTTTACGTGTAAATATTTGCGGAAATATGTTTCATTCACAAAAATGTTAAGCTGGCCATCAGTGCACCCCGTACCACAGTGTTGTTTGAAATATATTCAGGAATTACTCGTGACCAAGCCAGGTACAATGAGTCACAAATTCAATACATGAATTAGCTTTGGTCATGTGACGTGAGCTTGAAAAAATTGTGAATGAAACAAGGCCATGAAATCCTGCATCTATTGTGCTTTACCTTTAAAAGGTGGCTACAGTATTTTTAGTCATAAACAATACCCTTACGACTGTGTGACTATCACCCCAGTGGGCTTCACAAACGCTTTTAAAATACATATATTTCACCAATGTAACACTGGAAGATGCTGCACCCATGCCTACCAGCAACACAGGTGGTTCTCATCAGTGTGTTTATTCAGTTGTCAGCCTTGAGGGGGCAAGGGGTGAGAAGAGTGGAAAAATGTTTTTCTGTCTGAAAGTCTCTCCTTTTAGTCAGTAAAAACAATAACAATCACACAGCAAGCCTGATCCACATCAGCTGAGACTGCAAAATCCAGCACAGGATGTCTTGTTATTAAAGGAGACCATTTTTTTTATTGGAAAATGGTTTTTAAAAAGGCAGCCACATAAGCTGCATAAGAACTGTTTCACCCAGTAGTGAATGCTACTTAATTCTGCTTCAGAACACGCGCTGTGAAGATGTATGCACACAGCCATATGCGCAATAACATCACTAACCCTAAGCATTATGCCCAGGTTTCAAAAAAATCCAAATGGTAATATGTAATTTGATTAACATTTTTATAAAATATGAAGCTGAAAACATACTATTCATGGACTATGCAATATATCACCGTTAAATTAAATTATTACGGTATCAAAGGAGTTGATGACCTAATATCGTATACTAGTATATGTACTACTAACAATAGATACGTTAATTGTACTTGTGCACCGCTGCCAATGCAGCATCACCAAATAATTTAAAAACCACATGTTTTTCTCCTTTAAAATAATTACCATTAAAAATGTATGTATGCTCAGGCATACAAATACATTAGTTCAGCAGTGGCTTCAAATACGTATGTGTGTGTCATTAATATGTATTATTACTATTATAATAAGATGTGGTGTTATGTGCACACAGTGGAGGTGATGCAATAAACCAATTGAATGGGATGTAGGCGTTGGGCAAAGCTGCAAGAACTAGAACATGATAATCCAGTGAGCTGTTTGATATTTTTTTTAAAATAAGGTATGACTATGCAAAACCCTAACTCCTCATTCTGAGTTATGAATAAACATCTCTTGAGATTTACATTAATTCATTATGCCCTCTGGTATGTACATAATAAACACATGGACAGTATTTTATGCAGAATAATGGATGGAAGGTGAACACCAAAAGTGAGGGATGAGGTGATACCAGGATTCAGGTTAGGGCCAGAGATATGGCGAGTGGTAGGGGCTGGTTGGCGAGTGTGGTTAGGCTTTGGCTTGGCTAGTTTATTAAGATTAGAGATTGCCTTAGAGTTGGCTAGTGTGCTGTACGCCATAACAGTTTTCACTGCACCCCATTACACAGTGAGGCCGTTTCACATTTTTCATTGAATACTTTGTGTTCGATTTCAAGCCATTTGACACACAGTGGCTAGAAAGGCCTGCGATGTCACAGTTGTCATCACCTGCCGGCGCCGCTCGTCCAGGTATTGCATGATGAGTCGAGTGTTCACACAGTGACTCCACGTGTTGCCCAGGGCTGCAGTCACATAGCCATCGCCAGACATCTCCTTCTCGCCAGCTACACGGACAAGATGCCATGTTACGTATCATAGATGGTTGATTGCATCTCCGTTAAATACAGTACTGCCTCGAGGGCATGATAATATACAGGATTCATATTCTTTTTGTTTCGTGGTTCATTCCCACATTGGATTTGTCTTTGTTTACAGCCCGCAGCCAAGACTATGCAAATGTCACAGTGACAAATCAAATAGACGAAGGGGTTTTCTCAGCTAATTCCTTTTGTCACCGTGGAAAGAGAGGTTTCTTCCTGTGAAATACATTGAGGTCTCAGGCTAAGGGCTTAGCTCAGTTCAAACAAGTTCATATTAGTTATCTTTGGGCATCTGGTAAACAACTGAACAAGCAAAGTTTATAACACGAGTGCCAATACACAATCTGCACCAACTATATTGACAGTGCTCGTTATCCGTCAGTTGTGCTAGAGTGTTTGTTTTCGGGCTGCCCCTCCATATTGTGTCTGCTCCGCGAGTCAACAGGCCCTTTGGTCCAAGATTGTGGGTCAAACCCTGCAGTAAACGGTGTGTGGCCCAAAACGCAGGCTGCGATGCATCCCGACAAGAGGTAACCGCAGCTATATGATTGACGTCCACATTCACAAGTGAGATTAACGCATTTTACTTAAATCCATCAAATTGTGTGTCAGCTGTATTGCCATCATACATATATTTTTTTTACCGGGGGAAGAAGACAATACATTTTGACTATCTGGTAGGCTCACGGGGTGCATTAACCGGCGAGAACAGTGAAATGTTGTTGAACAGTCTCTAAGCTCAAAAAATAAGTATGTTTTTTCGTAATGTTATTTTATCCAACTGCACATGACCATATGGGCATACATTGTCACCCTAGTCACCAGAGCAAAGGAAATTTGATGTCTCAAAGACCTCCAACCTAAACTAAACTCTTAAAATTATGTTTTATTTTACCAGATAAGACCCACTGAGCTAAAAAGCTCTTTTTCAGAAGCGATCTGGCCACAAACGATAGCTCAACAAAGTGGCTTATCACGTGGAATTTTGAAACAGCTAAGTACTCCAAAAACATGTTTCTGAATGTGGAGGGAAAAACCAGCGGACTCGGATAAAAATCCACACGACCACGGGGAGAACATGCAAACTCCAAATATACAGGCGTCAGGGTCGGGATCGAACCCACAACCACCTGTATACCAGGCAAGGTATTTAACATCTCGTCACCACGGCAGTAAACCTAAAATATACAACGAAGTAAAATGAAGTATACAACTACTATACTGTATATGACTGGGTGGTTCAATATATTTCAAAGAGGGAACCCTTGAAAGTACACGCATACATTTGCTGCTTTATTTTATTCTGACACGTGTTACCTCACCTTTTTACCTTAAAGTCAGTGACTGTAGGTCACTGTGACATTGCTGAGTGTGTTTATAAATATTTGTCTAAATATAATAATACATACAAATACCATACGCCTTTAGCTTGTAGTTATTTTTAGAAACGATACATATTTAATGCAATGTCAGCATTTCCAATTTTAAAGGGTGTCAGCATGAATGTGTATACATGTATAGTCACAAGTCTGTTTGAATTGAGTGCATGCAATGGTTTCACTGTGTTTCAGTGCATCCGTGTGCCTGTGTATACGTTTGGGAAATGCCAAGCGCAACCGGCACGCTTCCCGTAGCTGAAAGTTCGCGTGTGAGGGGATAATAGTCGGAAACGCAAGCAAGTGCCAGAGAAAACCCTTCCGAGCCCCTGCAGGAAACCCAGCTGTGACGCAAAAACCTCCTCGGTCCCGTGAAAACAATACAAAACATTCACTTGGCAAGCAAATGGAAACAAATATATGCACTGCGGGTGAATTAAATGACTCTGCGTTTAATAATATAATCAGGAGGGTTTCATGTTGCCTTTATTTTCTTTACGTGTTTACCTTCATTCACTGCATGAGAGCCAGCTCGACCTTTGAACCGCGTTGTAATCTGATTGGTGAGCACCACCTGTGGGACAAAGGACAGTTCTGGTCAGTCAGAAAAGCATAATAGGAGGAACAAAGAGTTATCCAAACCTTACCATGGGGTTGTAGATTATTGAAGCAAACTCAGATTGCAATTGTTATCTAAAATACAAGCCCTGTGCATACACAGCAGGTAGCTATTTGTCGAGCAAAATTACTTCGCTCAATCTCCACTCCAATATGTTTGCGTATTTAGCAGGACAGCTGTAATCCACATCCTATGGTACACAAATGAGGGCAAATCACGGTGTTGGCCTGTCAGTCAGCAGAAACTGAAGCTGTAGATAATACCATTTGAGGCCTGTTATCCAGCCACAGACCAGCAGGTCAAAACATCTAGCTGCAAGATGATAAATATGTTACTGTGAGATAGCAGGCGCTGAAAGCGCCATTGTACAGAACAAGTTTATAGCATGCTGATGGTCATTCGTTTCTCAATCCGCTTGAGAATGCTGAGTTTAAAAATAAAAATAACCCAAAATGTAAATGATTACAAGAGAGGATTGATACCACAATATCAAACTTTGTCCTCGTCATCTTGTCATGCAATTAGGCCTAGTTAAAGTTTCACCCTTTCAGCTGCAGCTATAAATGTTGATGCTTGTTATGAACCTCTGCAAAAACACAACGAATAGGTGATACCATTTGCTTAGTGCATTGTCAGAAGTACTACTTATAAAAAATGCAGGTTATTTCCCCCCCATAAAACATAAAGGCAGAAACACGTAAACAATTCTGAAAGACTAAACGACATGCAGCATGAGAGGCTTTAAACATGGCAAGTAACATTCGCTGCTTAATAAATTCCAACACATCGTATGTTTACACAAGCTAGAGGCAAAATTGAAGAATTTAAATTCAAACTCGCAATCATAAACAATGTAATCGCACTTTGATGATAAGTTGTATAAATAGCATACCTCCACTCAAAATTGTAATTATTTAGGAAAGTTTAGAATGCATATATTTCATTATTTAACCAATGATAGATTATCTGGGTTTTCTCTTACTTTAATAGTATGGTCGTGCTAGCGATGTGATTGATGCCAATTCCTATGGGAGGAAACCAGTCCCTTGGAGAACACCCATGCATATAAGGAGATAATACTAAAACTTTACAGGAAGAATTTAAAAGTAAATAAAAACATGTACAGCAAAGTGCACGTATTTTTTTGCGATTACAAAAAAATTAGCAGTATTGTAAGCGTCTTGAACGAAACGGGTACCACCCATGCGACACTGGACAGTATACACACAAGCACACAAGACACGCTGACGCACACACAATCCACAGATGCGGCAGAGATACGGTACATAAAGCTTAACTGCCATCAGGCAAGCAGGTGACCCACACAGCACGAAGGTGGGGGCAATGGAAAAACCCGAGGCTGTGTAAACACCGTGGCTTTGTTTATCAGGCACTTGTGTGCTCTGCAAGCCAGCCCAGGATCCAAGGTCAACCCCCCCCCCCAAAGCGACCCACACCCATCCTCTACAGAGCTACAAGGCTTACTACCTTCCCCTTTGCTGACCCCCCCCCCCCACCGGCATCGACACGTAGCGTTTTTACTCCCATCAAAATCCTGCACTCACTCTCCTCTCCGCCACCATGGAGGAATTTCATAAAGTCAAGACGGAAGCCAAAAATGCCATCGTTAGCTTCGTTTCAGGCTCCTGGAAAGTAAACTCGAGTGTGCGCTCAGGCTCAATACGCCAATAGATCAAAGAGGTACTGTATAAGGTTTTTAATGAACTGTACAAATCTGCCAAAGCTAACTACATACTCGATAATGTTTAAACGCCTCTTGTAATGTGTACAATGAGCAATAACTGTGATCGATGATCTCCACTCATTGGTGAATGCTGATTGATGAAGGCTGATGTTTCTTGGAATGTATACTTCCACCACCTAACTTTACTATGGTGTTTGTGTAAAATAACGCGGAGTCACATTATGTTGATACGTGTGGCCGATAGATTTGCATGCCACAAAGAGGTCTGACCATTGTTATAACAGACACTTGTACAAGTGCACCACGAGCTATGTTTATGAGTACACCAACATACTAGTGATTAAACTTAGCCCAATTAAAGCTTCCACGTAAGGAAATACGGACCCATTGTATAAACTAATCATATTGCTATATTTTTTTCTTATCCTGTAGACACCATATATACGTTCCTGTGTTGGTTGTTACAGATTTGTTTCCCTTGGTCTTCCTCGCAAGAGATGTGTTAGTTAATTGTATTTCCCCTGTTTAATAAAGATGATCTGTATCATTGTGTAATAAGGAAGTTACGTTAACTTTTTGTTGTTTAAATATACTTTTCTAATAAGTCTTAAACACCTAACATTTTAAAATTGATTAAACGCACCTTTAAAAGTACAACTTTCTTTCATGCAATTTTAGAACATTTGAATTTTTTGAAAGTTTTTAACAATTATTTTTATATCTTCATTGTTTGTTTATAATGTGTTCATATTAATGTGGTACAGGTTCAGCTGTGCGTAGGTGCGTGTGAGATGATGAAAAGGGTGTTTTCATAACATGCACTCTCAAATAAAACACATGCTCTACTTCTCACGAGAGGGTCATCATTTGGCTCTTTGACCCTTATATATTTCCAATTATACATAACTATCCTGAACAATGATTATCACGCAAAGTCGAGGGACAATACATACTGTAGAAAAATTACAGCAAAGGAAATGTCATAACAATCGACAGATCAGCAATTGGCGATGCAGTTGGAACAAGAGGGAGGGGGCTGGTGGGGAAAAAAAATGGCAAGCAGGTATTGTTAGACAATTGTGACCTACATTATTTAGGTTAGACTGGCTCACTGCCAAGGCACAGAGTGAAGTCTCACTTGAGGATTACTCAGGTACATTTTAGAAAGAAAAAAAATAGTTGAGTCCACAGACCGAGACGGCGAAGTGAAAAGTTGTGCCTAAAATAAGTTAAACGATGGAAAGGTAGGGGTTTAGTTTAATAATGGTGTGTTAGGGTGGAGTATCAGGTTAATCACGGAAGAGGACAAAAAGAGAATATGACACGCAGCAAGCTTTAATTGATTGCCTTTCACAACACTAGTGTACTGGCCTGTCTGGTTCTACAGTACATGCAAAACACTGTTCCCACCCAACATGTTTCCGGAGACATAATATCCTGCAAGGTGATAACTTGTGAAGTTAATAGGATTTTCACCATTTGTAAGTAAATACTAAACAGGAAATGGGAATAAAAGTGGATTTCGGCTTTATCCACTTTCGCATCGTTTCCACAGCCAGTGGGAACTGCAGTAGAACGATTCTCGCACCTGGCTGGTTCCAAGAGCTTGTGTTCCAACGCAACCCTGCCTGTTCGAAAAAATCCCATGGACGCTCAAATTTCCTGGCGCAGCGCTCTCTGCCTGATCGGTGATGCATGTTCAGAGCCGAGACGAACACAGAATTAGTCTTGATTTAAAGCTTTCGTGAATGCAGGAATATTCACATTCTTGGTTCTTTCGGTAAAGTCACGTAGAAGGGAAGCAATAAAATAATATTTAAATTATTTTATTTTAAATACTATTTTTATTATTTTATTGTTTCCCTTCTACGTGACTTTACCGAAAGAACCAAGAATACAGAATTAGTCGTGATGTCACAGGTTCAGCGCAGAGGCGGGACATAGCGTCACGGCATCCAGTTGGTTCAACTTCAATGGCTTTGTTAAATGTCATAAATACATGGTGGAATGTTTAAAAGTAAAACTCGAGATTTTTTAAAATTTGAGATAGTCTATCCTCAAAAATGTTTAAAATCACTTATCGACCTGCTCTACGCATCTGCAAGTGGTAGACTAGGCAGAGGTGGGGGTGAGGGGACAGAGCGGGAGGGGCCAGGGCCACCAATGCAACCTCATGGCTCTTGGAATCGGGATACAGAGGCCATCATGGTATTGGCCACAACTCAGTACTGAACTGGCAGAGCCCAGCTTCATTTGGTCATGGAAAAGAGGCCTCCAGTTTAGAAGGGAATTGACGTACTGGACCGTTTGCATGTGCCCAGTCATCCATAGAAAATCTCCACAAAGCACACGGTTGGGCCTTTCTCTTGCTTTACCACAGCGCAATGCAGGAACAAAGCAAAAAATGATAAACGTATATTTTGGTTTCGATTTAAAGCTTTCGTGACTGCAATGATTCATCTTCTTTGGTTCTTTCGGTAAAGTCACGTAGAATGAGAATAAAATAATTATTGTGTTATTTTATTTTATCAATTTATTATTTTATTCTCATTCTATGTGACTTTACCGAAAGAACCAAAGAAGAAGGTTTATTTTGGTGTTTACTGTTCAATCAACAGCAACTGTTTGCGGTAGTAACACGCACTGCTTCATTGTCATTAAAATATTTTTAGTGTCATGCACAATGAAAATATTTTCTTATAGCTTCAGAATTTTTTTCAGTATCTTTTTTTTTACTTCCACGTAATAATGAGTTATGAAAAGCTCACCAACCATTATTTTGAAATGGTTTTTGAATCCTTCAAGACAGTCTGGCCACTCATCCTTTAATTGTACGACCGAGATGTGGTCATAAAGTGTTAGAGAATTAAGGAAAAGTAAAAAAACATTCCAAATTTGCAGACGTGAAAAGTGCATGTAATTGTCTTCATTGCTCGTGCTGACTTTCAACACAAGAGATTGAGATATGTATATGTATTACACAACTGAAAACAGTAATCACTGTGAGAGGAAAAAGTGCCAAGTCATTTAGCATAAATGAGTAATTTGATACTCATACTATGCATTTGTCATGTTAGCAACATACCATGCTTCAAAGATGAATTTTTAGGAAGTAAATGGAAACAGTTATATGTATATCACCAGACTAGCAGATACCTTGCAGGGTTGAACTCAACGTTGATATGCACGTATAATTATTGCTATTAAGAGTTTTCTGCACACCTACACCTATACATGAGCGTGAACAATA